CAGCGACGTGTGCGTGCGTGAGCGCAATAAATGAGTCAGGTCACTCTGTTTATATAAGTGCCGATAACCTACGACACAGTTGCCCTTTATTGCCCATCCCTCACGATGAATCTCGGAAATACCCATGGGCAAACTTTTGTCATAGGATTTTTTTTTTTTTTAAACCAACCACGATATCAGTCGATGAGGTACAAAATATATCAATGGGTGAAAAATGTTCAAATGTGTGTGTCAAAAACGTGGACCATACCGCTAACCGGTATCGCTGCCCTATTTGGAGGTACTGTATCGGTTCTTCGTGGAGATGCCGATACCAGCCAACGATACTTGAGGCAAAACCACCCCCCAAGAAAGCAAATTTGAGATGGAGTAAGTCCTCCTTGGGCAGTAGCTGGTTCTATCCTGCAACAGATTGACACAGTGGCCAGTCGTCATCTGCGTCACAAAGAAAGGTCTTTGTTCCTCTTTTTTAGGCACTGTGTTCAAGCGGACATTGCGAATGTACTCGAGGTATCGGTACTCAAAGGCTGAATACTCATATTGGTATCGGTCTGAAAAAAACAAACGGTATCGAACAAGCCTGAATCAAACAATACCGTCCTTCACTTAATGTTGTCCGTTTTGCCCACAATCAAAGAAGGTCAAGGACAACCGGATTTAATATGCTCATTTCGTTTCGGGCACGCATTTGATGCAGTGCCCCAAGTGGGCCATTGCACTTTGCCATTATTGGGCTTGTAAAGTTTTTTGGTTTTTGTTTTTTTATTGGCTCGGGTCAAAGATTTACAGTTTTGCTGGGAAGTAGGGTAACTAACGTGCTTGTTTATTTATTTATTTTTATTGTTCTTTTTTTTTAGGGGACAATCCCGCAGTTATGGTTGCCGGTAAAGCAGCGCACGTGGAAAGCGGGGACGTCCCGATACATCCCCAACTCGGGTAGCTTTTCATTTCACAACCGCGCGGCCCCGATTGATTTGACGCTCTGAGCGATGGCCGTTTGTATCAACTTGCGCCCTTGTTGTTTGCAGTTTGGAGTTGGATTTGCAGCGCAGAAGGTAAGAGGCCGACAAGGCACACGCCCGTCAGCTGCTTGCCGAGCGCATAACGTGGCCGCGGTGGGAAAAGTTAGGGAGACTTCGCCCGGGTTATTCTCGTTCACGAAAACCAATGAGACGACGACAACTAAAATGGCAGAAAAAAAAAAAACACGCCATGAAGAAACTCAAACCAAAACGCTTTTAAATCAACCAAACGGAACTGAAACTACATCTGACATACGTAAAGCTCATGAAAACAAAATATGTTGCGTTATTATGGTGAAAATGTCCGTTTTTTTATTTATTTTTTGTCTTTGTTCGTGATTTTCAGACAAGAGCTTTGGCAGTCTATGAAGGTCATATTTATGGATTTATTTTTATCTCGCACTCGACAAATACTTCATAGTTAAAAAAAATCCATTTTTAAAACTAATCAACACCAAGCATTTTTGTAAAAATAGAAACAAACAAAAGAAATTTGGGGTCACGGACTTTAAAAAAAAAGAAATAAGGACCACAAAATGCCAAACTCTTCGGAGCCCACAATTGGCATCGTCACTGAAAGTAAACTTGGGACGACCGACGTCATCCGAGTCCGAAGGGGGGAGGGGGCGCGACGATGGGTACGTGGCGCACGTCTTGACCGAGGGTTTGTCGTCCGTCCGTGGCAGCCGATGTGATTCTGGACCCGATGACCAACCACCCGTGGCTGACCCTGTCCGAGGACCGGCGGCAAGTCCAGGAGGGCCTGTCGCAGGCCGACTTGCCGTACAGCTCGCAGCGCTTCGACGGCTGGCCCTGCGTGTTGGCCTGGGAGGGCTACGGCCGCGGGCGCCACTACTGGGAGGTGGACATCGCCAACGACGGCTACTGGCGCGTGGGGCTGGCCGGCGTCCGCTCCAAACGGAGCGGCCGCTTCCCCATGTGCCCCAAGACGGGCTACTGGTGCCTGTGGCGCGGGACGCACCAGTTCTACGCCTGCACTAAGCCCGAGACGGCGCTGCCCGCCGGCCTGGTGCCGCGGCGGCTGGGCGTCTACCTGGACTGCGAGGAGGGCCAGGTTTCTTTCTACAACGCTCAGAGCAAGACGCACATCTACACCTTCACCACGGACTTCAAAGGCAAGGTCTACCCGCTCTTCGCGCCGCTCGACGGCCGCACTCTCATGACCGTCGTGCCGCCGCGGGCCACCCGGAGCCCCGCTTCCGCCGCTCTTTGGGTCGCTTGAGACGGCTTCTTTTTGGCCTCCAAACGACCGCCACGAGCGGCTGTTTCTCGCTCTGGTTTCGGGTACGGCCACGCGAAAAAGGCCATCGGATTGTCAACGGATGCCGTCTCTTATTTCAAATCACCTTTCGCCTGTAACTGACGTGCGCGCGCGTTATCATCGAGACGTTTTGCAAGAATCACTGATGGTGTTTGGGTGTTGGTTTTTTTGTTTTGTTTTTTGCTCTCACTTTTCTGTTATTTTCGGAAAGAAAAAGAATTCCCCCCTCCCCCTCCGGCTACGAGAAAGTGCAATACTTGTACATGTATTTATGACTGTATTTACTCCGTGCGTGATGCTCTATGCTCATATTTCTCTTTGATGTCAACACAAGAAAAGCCGAGATTTGCTGCTCTGGCTCTTGATTTAATTTCATTTGATTAAAAATTGATGAAAAAAAAATGGTGTCTGCTTATTTGCAGTTTTTATGTGCCAAAGTGAAAGGAAATGATTTTTCACTTGAGGACATGAAAACCGAACATCCTCCCAAGTGTTTTTCTCGAGCCACCGGCCTGGAGATCCGAGAGGTCAGGTGGGGCCGGGCCATTTCCAGATTGCAAAAAAAATCATAGAAACACGACAATGTGTAGGGAGCCAGTGAAGGGAAGCTCCCTCTTGATACGAGCACCAGGCAAGAGGCGAGCGACGGCATTCTGGACTTTGGCTGACTCCAAAGTCACCCGGCCGAGAGGCGACGAGAGCGGCAAGGTCAAAGTGCTCGTTTGCGCTTCGTGCCTTCAAAATGCTACGACACTATATTCGTTCATCAAAACATCTCGAAACCAAACATTTGAAACGGTGTCTTTTCAAAAGGAAATTCAATTCATAATTAGAATGATCCTATGTACATGCATTTAAATGCCCCGAATTAACCCCCCTCCCCCTGAAAATTAGGGTTTCTCATGCACGCGTGTGGTTGACTGAAAGTCAAATATTCAAAGAGCAATAATCAGCCTGAGGAAGTGCAGCTGAGCAACCGTTGCAGCTCTTTTCCTGCTTCCGCTGCTGCTGCAAAACAAACCAAAAAAAAAAAAAACGGTTCCGAGGGAAAGAAAAGGAACGAGACTTTGAAGAGAAAATGTAAGTGAGCGACATTCTTTCGCTGCGCTTTTTTCACCCCCCATTTGGTTTCGACCGATTGTGAAGTCCGTTCGTTGACATTTCAACGATATGTTGATGGTGGTGCCGGATGAAAACAAAAGAATGAAATTCAAGAAAATGCAACCGCATCGTGGCTTGATGCACAACGCAATTGACATTGCGCTGTTCCTTCTGTGTACAATTCACACGTACGTGGAATCGCGTCGGTGGGTACGCTTCGTACCTCGGTGGCTCTCAAGTCCAGGGGGCCTTCTCATATCTTGGTTTCCTTTTGAACGCAGGCTCAGCGTCAGGCTCGCCTACATTTTCTCCTACAATCTGTTCCAGTTCTGCGGACACACGTGGATACTCACCAACATGGTCGTCCGCTTTGTCACCTTCGGACGAGGTCAGCTTGAAGGCGCTAAGGTGACACGAGGGGCCAACTGGGGGCGCCTCTCAGCAAGCGCGTCGAATTCTTTTTGTTCTTTTCTCGCAAGATGCCCTCGCGGACACGTTTCACTCAGTGGGTTTCGTCATGAGTCTCTGCCAGCTGCTCTCCGTCTTGGAGATTTTCCACATCGCCGACCGGCTTGAGAGAGCCAGGCTGCTCCCGCGCCTCGTCCAAGTACGAGCGATCCTATGCGGGGCGACGCGCTCTGACAAGAGTGTGAAAGTTGACGTTTTGTCCAGGTTTTCGAGAAGAACCTCCTACTGATCATGCTCATCAACTTGGACGAGGTTCAGAGCAAACCCATCGTGTGCGTGCAGCTCTTCTTCTGGAACATCTTGGACCTGCTCAGGTGCACGCTCACAGACTACAACAATTAAAAAAAAAAACAAAACAAAAAAAAAAAACAACCTCCCAGGTCTGCAACATTCTGGTTTTGGGCCCAGGTACCCCCATGAAGTGATGTGCGTGATGGACGCCCCCTCTGCTGCCATGCTGTGGGCTCGTTACACTCTGTGGATCCCCATCTACCTCCTCTCCGCCGTCACAGAAGGTGATCCCCTCCCCAACGGCGCCCAACAACGTGACCTCCGGTAGACACGTCTCTCCTAACTGGACGCATGAAAAATTCTCGTGGAGAGTTTGAACATGAAGGCAGCCCCTTTTAGATCAAAGCAGCCCGAGACGTATGAAAAATGGCCCAGAAAAAAGAAAAAGTCATGAACAGGAAGGTTTCCATTTTGCTTCGAAACAGCCATTTATTGAAAAAGAAAAAGGGGCATTTAAACTTGGGGGCAGTGGGGGGGGGGTGAAACCCATTTGTACAGTCAACACGTCGATCTTAACAGGCTTTCCTCGACCCATTCCCCAAACAAAACAGGAAAACGGCAATTTTAGTTTGACGCAGCCATTTCGGGGCAAATTCCAGGCCTCGCACTTGGTCAGAGTGTGAGAAGGGAAAAAAAAAATCAGCTCGTGTTACTGACTTTAGATATTGACTTGGAATTTGCCAATCATAACAGGACAGACGAAAAAGTCTCAAAAATCCAAGCTGAAAATTGAACAGGTAGGCCGCCATTTTGCGTTCAAGGAGCCATTCCGGGGCGTATTCAGATGTTGTCGTCATGTTAAAAAATAAGTTTGATGATGCGCACTGAAAATGGGCGAGCGAGGTCCCATTCATCGTCATCGCAGTTTGAACTTGACTTTTGGTGAGATTGTGAACTTGAGGACGAGCTACGCTGGAGGTCGACCGTAATACCTGGTCAAGGAGTCAATTGTGAAGGATGCAAAATGAAAGCGGCTTCTGCTTCCAACAGGGGTGACGATATGCCACGCGATGAGTCACACGGAGCAGGAAGCGCGCCGCCAAGGGAGCTCAACATCTTGGCCGCTTGTCCTCGGGGTGTCGCTGCCTCTCCTTGGGTTGGGTAAGACGAAGCGTGAGTGGCTATGAAAGGAGGGCGGCGGCGACAATTGGGGGGAGAAAAAACAAATCCCGCTTTTTTTTCGCAGGAGCTTTGCTCACAGTGTGGCAGTCGCTCAAGGAGAGACGACATCAGCTGGAGAGGTGGACCAAGACGACGAAGAGGAAATGATTGAATGATACCCCCCCCCCCCCACACACACAAAAATTGAAATAAATGAGAGCGCATGCGGTCGTGGGTTCTGAATTTCGACATGCCTTGCCATCGCCCCTCAGCCCTTTGAGCATTTTTCTTCCCCATGCCCCTGATCGCCATTTTGAGGTCCACACCTCGATGTGGAAAAAATGCTCCCACGGCTTGCTGAGGATTTGATTACCAGCCATACGCTCGGGTCCACACCGACTTCTTCTTGAACTCGGGGGAGCTCCGCAGGGCCAACAGAGCCGCTGAAAGGATGAGAAGGAGCGGCTCAGAATCACAATTCTATTGAAATCGAATCCTTCGCCTTTTCTCACCGCGAGCTGCGTCCACGGTTGCCGCCGACAGACTTTGTTCGGGTCCCTCCACAAGACTGAGAAGCCACTCTATGAACTAACACACACACACACACACACACAGGGCGTCAAATCTAAATGGAGATTCTCCGGGATGGGACGGACGTCCTGGCGCTTAAGACCTTGTGCGCGTGGCGGTTCCAGGGTTCTTTGTGTAGAAGCGGCGGCAAGCTGCGGGGCAGTCCCAGCAGGCATCGCGGCAGGGCGCCCTCCGTCAGCGACTCGGCGCCGTACAGGGCGTGCGTGAGGGCGGCGGGCTTGGAGGCCGTGCTCCACGGGAACCAGCGCCACCTGACGCCCAGCAGGAGGGGGACGGAAAGGTCGCCCCAGGAAACGACGGCGGCGGCAAAGACTTGGAACAGGAAGTCTGTGGACTACAGGAGACAAGATTGTGAATCTGTATTCCGAACCATTCTCCAGTTTTAATGTTGATTGGTTAGACTACTCAGCAAAATACAGGGCGAAAATGCATTAAAAAAAAAACACAACCCACGGACTGGCTGGTGCTTGCTCATGTGGCATCTGACCACGGGCAACTAGTCAATCACCAATACTCCTGATCTAAACTACTTCGGCAATCTCCCAGTCTTTCCCGAGTCAAGTGCCGTCAAAAGATGTCAGAGACTTTCATCAGCCAAAGCTGGTTTGGTTGAAGACACAAAACGGCACCTTTACTTTTGTACTTGTTATGAAGTTATCTGTCGCCCTCTAGTGGTAGAAAGCCCGAACCTCGCTTGAATGTCACATTTTGGCTGGCAAATACAAAGCCGAACAGAGTGACAGCAGAACAGCAACAGCGACACACCTGTTTGGTGTTCCCACACGCGTCCGCGGTGGCGCCGTAGGCGACATTCCGGATGAGTCCCATCAGCTCCAGCAGCCACTCCATTCGCTTGGAAACGTCTGCAGCACAAAATGCCACATGCGGCTTGCATTTCCTTGTGTTCATTCATTAACCCAAAAAAAAAAAAAAAAAAAAGCATAAGTGACCTGTATTGACACTGGCGGCCAGGCGACACTGGTAGAATGTCTGCAGGAGGATCCAGCCCACCCGGTGGCTCGGCCAACCACGGAGCACGCCGGCGATGACGTCATTCAGAGCCAGCAGGGGAATCCTCCCCCGAGATGCCAGGCAAGCTAAGACGAAGCAGGTTTTCTCCATCTGTGTCTAAAAAGTCCGAACGTGAGGTGCAGTGTGTCCAAAAACTATTCCCAGCGCTTCACTTCTTCCGCATTCTAAGCTACGGCCTCATTCCAAAGCAAAATGCATTGGGCGTAATGCCAGTGTCGATCACGAGATGGCGGCACACAATTGGATTTGGACCCTGGACATGTGAAAGAAAGAGTACAGCCTTGTCATTGTCAAATCCTCTTTCATCCTACTTTTTACACCTACAAAGAGCAACGGGCGTCAGTTCATTTGATAATGTTCGAATGTTTAGAATGTCTTGATTAGGTTTGAGGGGGAAAAAAGCAGAAAGACTGGAACACAAGGAAAACTGGTAAAAAAAAAAAAAAAAAAAAGAAAAAAAGTAAAGCTCTGTGAATACTTTGGGGACATGTGGTACTTTCAATGCTTTTCTCTGTCTTCGAGAGGGTCCAAATATTTCCCCCCGCACCAGTCAGGGTGACTTCCACGGATGAGCTCATACCTCTGTGACACCCGCGATGCGGTCAATCTCCGTATCGGACATCTCAGACAAACAGTCGGCCACTCCCACATAATAATCCACTTCCGTATCCTAAAGAAGAAGAGCACCAATTCACCATTTGCAAAGTCGTTTTGGAAAGTGACGAATGAGACTCGGCACCTTGATCTGGTTGGGCAGAAGGCCGAAGATCTTCTCGGTGGCGGAAGACAGGGCGGCCCAGCAGGCGCTGGGTGGGTCGGGCGCGGCCATGGCCTGCGTGAGGCCCCGCAGCAGGGAGCCCCGCAGGGAGAGATGCCGGGCCTCCAAATCCTCCCGAAAGGTCTGCGGGCCGAGAGTCTCCACGAAGAACTGGAGCTTGTCCTCGGGGACGTGCTTCATCCACGAGGAGAGGTTGTCGTACAGGAGGGCCCTAGTCTGGGACTAAGTGACAAATACAACGCTGCCGATAGCGCACGCCCTTCAACCCGTTGATGTCAGCGCCGCCTCCTTATTTAGAGCATGTCGTCCCTAAAGTAGGCTCCGTACTTACACTGAGGCTGTACACGAGAGGCGAGGACAGCCAGGAGCCCAAAAAGAGCGAAGCACTCTGGGAATACTGAGCTTGAGCTGCAGCCAATGCCACACATTGATGCTGAACCTCCTCACCTGTCAACGCGGGAACAATAAATAAAGTCACGGCAAGCGGTAGATTTCAAAAGAGTGCGCTTACCAAAACTGAGTCGCATCAGAGGGGACAGGATCCCGCTCCAGTTGACGGGCGGGTACTGGAACGCCGTTCCCACTGAGGCCAGAGGTCTCAGGGCGGTTTGGACCACGCTTGGAGGGGCAAACTCCGGACCTGCGAGTACAGCTTTCTTTGATTGATTAATTTATTTTTACACATCCTCAATTAAAATAATAGGAATGAATAAATCAATAAATCATGCGCTCATTGGATCACTTCATCGTCAATCAATTTTTTCAGAATTGTGCCATTCACACCGTTATGAACATTAAAATACACACACACACACACACACACACACATATACATATATATATAAATTCATATATAGCCATTCATTAAGTTTTGTAAAAAAAAAAAGCAAAATATTTCTATTCATACATCTTTCATATATAGTCATTCATTAAGTTTTGTAAAAAAAAAAAAGCAAAATATTTCTATTCATACATCTTGACATTTATTGTATTAAATATCTGTCTCATTTTAGTGTAAATAACAGAATTAAAAAAAATATGACACGAAAGAATTTCAAATGAACATTGAACATGACTCCCTTCAAATTTGACTTCAAATTGGTTCACCTCTATCTATCTATATGTTATTTGATCGATTATAAATATAATTCTACAATAATTTTAAAAAGCGGTAAACAAATCATCTTTAAAATGAATAATTTCACATTCGCCCGAAACTTTTTTTTTAATTTGTCATGACTTGGTGTGAATGAAAGACACTGGTGAATGAAACTTTGGTTACCAAGGTGTCAAACACCTTTACGTGTACGAACACATTTCTTGTCAACTTCCTTCGCAAATTCTTGCCACAAAAGGCGTAAGTGAAGGAGCGAACCTTTCTTTCCCGCCTCCGTGAGCAAGTCCACCACGGCCCTGATGACACTTTTCTCCGCCAGGTAACCAAAATCCGGAGGCACTGAAAGGACGACGACATCATCACGCGCATCGCCGCGCGTGCACTCGATGAGGCTCTCGGCAACGCGGCGTCGGCTCGACGTGCACTTACCTGCTGCGTGACTGTGACTGGCGAACGTGTGCGACAAATGCAAGTGGCCCATCAGGCAGGCGCAGTTGGACTGCAAGCCGATCGCTCCCGAGAAGCTTACGATCTGACGAGCGCAAGAGTAAAAGCTGAGCCACGAGGAACTATCGCGGCGGAATTTCAAGATAGTCAAGGGGGGTTGGGTCGGAAAAAGCTGGCAGGGAGGAAGGGCGGACGGGTGTATGAACTGAAGGAAGGGAGGAAAAGATGTGAGCAGGACAGCAAGTGTGGCGGCGGCATCGGTTCTGTGTGGCGTTACCTGCGAGATGGCCCGAAGGACCTCGTTCAGTCGGCTCTGCTGGTTGGAGGAAAGCTCCAGTTCGCTCTTGAGCTGCAATCGGGGGAATCAAAGGCGCGCCGGACCGATGAGTACAAAGAAAGGCAAACGGCTCTGACGCCAAAGGAAAGGCGCTTCACCTGAATGAGGTAACTCTCGGATCCCACTAAAGCCACCAGGCCGTTAACGGCGGCCAGGCGCTGCATGGTGGGGCACCCCTGAAAGCCGCAACAGCAACAGCAACAACAACAACAACAACCACCACCGTGATCCAGCACCAGTTTGACACGACAACAACAACAACAACAACAACAAAGAAGCACTCCAAATGCCTGCCGCACCTCGGCCAGCAAAATCTTGAGCCAGGCGGCCAGGAGACGAGGCTGGAGGTCCTCCGCTTTGCCGTGGCCGCACAGAGACAGGCCGTGCACCGCCAGGCCCAGCGCCATGGACAAGCCGGGAGTCTGGACAAAAAGAAAAGCCGGACGGGCGTCTGGCTTGTTGCCGTGGCGACGCAGAGAGCTTCGGGATCAACCGACGCATTCCGAAGGAAGGCGAGGTGATGTCGCAAGTCCAAAGTGCAGGACAAATGAACGGAAAGAGGGAGGGATGCAGTCGGGATGTATGATAGGAAGGAAGGAAGGAATTAAGGAAGGAAGGAAGGAAGGAAAGGGTGGACGAGTGAAAGAAGCGATGCCAGGAAAGCAGGGCGGAAGGAAGAAAGGATGGAATAAACAATGGCAAGAAAGGAAGGAAGGAAGGAACGAACAAACCAAGTCAGGAAGGAAGGAAAGGAAGGAAAGGGTGAAGCGTTGCCAGGAAAAGAGGGCGGAAGAAAGAACGAACGTCATGAAAGGAAGGAAGAAAGTAGGGAGGCATCGGTGAGGAAGGACGGATGAAATGAGGCCGAGGGAGGAAAAAGGGGAAGAACTGCAGAATGAACGTGAAGCGATGAATGTGGGATGCGAGGGCGGAAAGGCGGAAGGAGGCCAGGTCTGCATGAAAGGGAGGAGGGAAGGAACCACGCATGGATGGAAGGAAGGAAGCCTCGAGGAAAGGACGCAAGAAAACAAGTACGAAAGGGAGGCCGCAAAAGGAAGGAAGCAAGGAAGGACCGATGACGCCGAGAAGGAAGGATGGACGCAATGGTGCATGGTGGTGACCTGCTGGCTCTCCTCGGTCAAGGCGCGCAGCGTCGCCACCACCTGCTCCGCCTTTTCGGGATCGATGACGCCCGCGCTGAAGGCCGACACGCTGACGCACGCCACCGAGTACGCCAAAACCTGCACGCAAGGATGTGAAGGCCGCAAGGGGGTCCACTGACGCACGCTCGCTCACCGCGCCAGATGTAAAAAATAATAAGGTTGAGTTGAGAAAAAAAAACAACAACAAAATATTGGCTTGATTCAAACAAGGCGTATGTCGGAATAGCTTGTTCCAATTGCGTTACTGTCGATGTTTTCTGTGACGTAATCTGTTGGATTCGTTGATGTGAAATCAAGCGTTACTTATATGGACTTGTACCGGAAGTATTCTTCGGGGTTTTTTTTTTTTTGTTTTTTTTTCTCCCCCAACTCAAGTGTACTTGCTTACCTCTTGCATCATGCGTCCTTGTCCGCCGCTGTCCTGCAGGGCGCTCAGGAGCTTGTCCAGTGTTAGGACGGCGCGGACGCGCTGCTGCGCCGGCCCACCGCCGCAGAGAGCCGAAAGCGCCAGCGCCAGACCCAACACGCAGCCCGTGCTGAGGAAGGCGCCAGAAATGGGACAAAAAAGGAGGCCGCTTGATTTCCAGAGCGTATTTCGGACACCAGGCTCAAGTCAACTCAAGGGTATTTCGAGAGCACGCGAAAACAACCCCCCCCCCATCCAAAATGCTGTAAATGGAGAATAAATCATTCATACGAGAACAAAACGAAAACAGTCAAATTAAAAACCAAGACCCCGTGCCGTGTTCCAAAGTAACTCCTTTCCTCCGAAGCGTTTTTCAAAAGAGCATCGCCGCGTCCCTTGTCAGCATCAACCGACGACGCGCTCACTTGTATTCCGCATCGGTGTCGAAAGAGCACGCTTCCAGAGCCGCGAGAGCGTCGAGGAGGAGATCGCCGTCCTTCTGAGCGGGGTCGTCACTAGGGAGCAGGCGGGGAAACGCCACGTCAGAAAGGTCTCAGCAGCTCCGGGATTGGTGACGGCTGGCCGCCACACAATCACCCAAATGGGCGAGCGACGGTTCGGACCGGGCGCGCTACCCGAGGTGCCGCCGATGCGCGGCGGACAGCACCATGCCGAGAGCCAGGCCCGAGTGGAAGCGAATGGCCTGAGAGTCGTCGGCGGTGGGCGACCCGGGCAGGCCGGCCCGCAGCGCCGACAGGACCCGCTTCAGGCCGTCTTGATGCCACAGAATCAGCACCGGCACCAGCAGGGACAGCGCCAGGCTGGCGCAGGAGCGAGCGATGGCGCTCGCCGTGTTCTCGCCCGAATAGGAGCGCTGGGGAGGAGATGACCACAAGTGACCACGAGACAAAGAGTTGTTGACACGCGCCATGTTTTGCCCTGAGAAAAAAAGAGCAGTTATTGCAGCCGTCGTTCTCGCAACCCGCACACGTCGACTCAACGTTTTGACAATCTTTTTGGGGAGGGGAAGTCAAAAGTAAACACGTAAAATCATGCTCTTCCAACCGGGGCGTGGTTGCGTTCATCACTAGAGTCAACTCAACTCATTGTTCCAGTAGGCTTTTCCTTCCATTTTGTTGCTTTCTAGCGGAAGCCTGAAATTTTCGTGCTCCTACCGCCGTTTGGAAGCGTTCCTAATTCAGCTTGAGAAAAACGGGGCAGGGCGTGCTTTTGCGCCAAACATACACCTTGAAGAACTTCCTTGGCTGTCGCCATCCTCCTTGTCACATTTAGTGGAAAACTGACCAAGCGACCGCTCGCGTCTCCAAAAACAAACAAACAAACCAAAAAAAAAAAAACGTGCGCGTTGGGGTATTGGGTGGCACTGGACTCCCACAGGCCCAACTTACGTGCAGGTACCAAGGAAACACTTGACCTTTGGCTTTGTAGCCACTGCTGACGATGCTGAGCAGGGTGTCAAGCACCATCGCCAACCAGCTGCTGGTGGGCACCATCTCCGGTCCAGCCTGAAAGCAAAGAAAGCCACCCACCAAAGCGTTTCGACACAAACTGCCGCCTGGAAAAGAGATGCGCGGCGCCTTACTCGGAGGCCGGCGTCGTTCTCGGCAGGAAGGTTGCGCTCGTATTTCGCCAGGGCGGCAGCCAGGGCGCTCAGTGCCAGAATGGAGTTTCCCTGGACAACGGGACTATCCCTGAAGGCCACATAGCACATAGACGCGTGAGCCTCCGCAAATTTCCAGCGCCTCCTCCACAACTGTGCTTCCACTCACTTCGTTGCACCTCTGATCGTATCCGTTAAGTGATCTCTGGCCCTGAGAAGAGCGTGAGATCATTTCGGATTGGAACTGATCCCGTGCGAGAATCGACGTGAAGCTCACCACAGCCAGGCGTAATGGTGGTTGTACTGCAGCGCTTCCGCGTCCTCTTGGTCTTTTTGGCGCTGCGTTTCCAGATCAGCCCGTCGACCCTGAGCCCCACAAAAAAAGCAAAACAGGCATTTTTCGAAGCACGATCAACAATCGCTTGATTGTCTTTGAACCTCATGACAAGGCTAGATGCAAAAAAATGCATCTGCAAGCGAGATATCAGAAGTACCCACCTCGAGGACTGCGTGGAAAGTATGATTCATGAAACTGCGCCACGCCTGAGGCAGGAGCAGCGCGCGGTGCCATTCGGACGGCTGAATGTTCACCTGCAGACGGTGCAAAAACGTCCGCCTTTTATTCCGGCCTTGGCCCAAAAAAACAACGAAGAAGAGCGAGAGGCGGACGTGAGTACCTCATGAATGAGGGCGGTCATGGTTTGCTGATAGCTGCGGCTGCGGCTGAGAAGGAGGCGGCGCAAGGGTCGCCCGGCGCGATCCGTCTGCTGCGGTAGCTCATAGCAAAGCAACAGGCCAGCTGCAAGACACACACACACACAAAAACCAAAAAAAAAACCAAGTGACCAGACATAAATAAGGCGAAGACACGGTTTGAGTCGGCCTCGCGATTCAGGGTTCCAATCTCGGATCCGGCCTTCTGGCATATGCGCTATCGTCAACGGAGGGATGGACTTTGCTTGCATATTTGCTAACCAGTCACCTGCTAGCCCTGCCTTGAGCCCCGGCTGCTTGTTCTTCTCGTAGGACTTCAGCATGAAGGCCGGGATGCCGGCCATAGTTTTACCCTGGTCCGAACGCAGGCCGCCTCCCCGCAGGGCGGAAAAGTACACCCCCCGCGGCATCTGGCTCGTCTCCTGCTTGATGAGCGATGTCAGGAAAAGCTCCAAGGCTGCAACGGTGCGACACGTGGTGACAGCTCAGTCATTCCGAACAGCAAGTTACACTTTGCTTGGAGTCACAATGGACAGCGATTCTTTGAGAATCGCATTGACAGCGAATGCACTTTGAGCCACAAAGAAGTGATGTCATTCACCTGCTAGCGCAGGCGAGGGGGTGAGCGTCAGCAACTTGACATACGATGAACCCGCAACGGAGAAATCCTTCTCTTCCTCCTCGCCCTCATCCTCGTGCGCAGGCTCAGGCGGCTTCACGGCAGGCCTGGCCTATGACGGTGAACGGGAAGAAAGCAAGGAGAGGAACAAACGTCAGATGACTTTGGTTGTCAACTGGCTCCATGAAAAAAAAAAAAAATCAAGTCAACCTGACTTGACTTACTGCCTCGGGGAGATGATTTATTGTGTGAACCTCTTCCGGGAAGTCTGCCAAGGCCCGAAAGCCACAGCTGGCTACCTCTGGATCCTGTTTCGGGGGTGGGGGTGTCAAATAGGGGCACCTGTCGCAACATTGGATCGTGCCCAATGTGTTTTCGACACAGACCTTGTTGACAGCATAATGCCATAGAAAGCCGACTGCTTCCTCCTTCAGTTTCTATAAAAAAAGTCAAATAAAAAATAAAATAACAACTGCAAATAGTTCACTCTTAACACAAAACTAAAAAAGAAACAAAATCAAGAATGCACATTTTCACCGGATCCGTCGTGACGAACATTGTAATGCTTTTAAAAAGTTTTTTTTTTTTGGGGGGGGGAGGGGGGTGCTTTTTTGGGTTTTTTTTATTTGCACGCATGCATGACTTTAGCAGGCACCTGATACTCCTCGGACTTGACGGCGAGTTGGGGAACCAGAGCCAGAAGCTGCGACACGGCCTTGACCATCGGTGGACGAGAGTCACACCTCAATTCCGGTCCGAGACTTTTCCATGTCGACACGATGTCCACTACCTGCAATCGAAAAACTCACTTTTGGATAAAAGGACTTGATAACCTTTTAACGTTTGACATGGATGGATGGATGGATGAATGGATTCTACTGCCCCCCCTGGTGGCCAAGGCGCACACAACAGAAGGAGCAGCATGTCCAATGAGCCAAAGCATGAAATTATGACATAAAATACTGTTTGAATTCTTTACATTCCATTCAATGATGTCTTTCTAATGTGTTTTCCATAAAGTACAAGGGACATTATTTTGCCGAGGTTGGAAGCTCATTTGGATGAATTTCAATTGGGAAAGTTGAGTTGAGAGAAGGACCCCAACGTCAAGTCAAAAGTCAAGTTACGACTGTCGAGTTAACGGTGCGGTTCATGAACCCTGCGGATGGAGGACAGCGAAAGGTTTGGTGGCCAACCTCTGCACGGCACAGCTCCTGCAGGCCCTGCAGGGCGAGCACCGCGGGGGTCACCTGGTCGTCTCTGCTGCACTGCTTCAAAGTCAACGCGATGGCGGCCAACATGTCACTTGCGTGCTGGTAAGGCCTGCCACACAAACGCAAAGTTACGACGAGCTGCGGCGAACCTCGGCCATTATTGGGGATTACCTCGAACACGCTCCGGAAACGCTTGCTCTCACGCTCACTGTTGAATACGTTTTTTTGTTCACTTACACAACTGAAACACTCTCACACACGACAAATTTTGAGGGTCATCTACACGATTGAAGCATACACACTACTTCATCATTTTTTACTCATTATTGAAACTCATACACAACCACATTTTTACTCGCATGCACGACTGAAAAGCTCTCACAGGCAACAGAAACACTCACACCACCGGAACGCAATCACACACAAAAATGAAACACTCACGTGCGCTGCTGAAGCACTCTCACACAACTGAAAAGATCTCTCACACAAACAATTGAAACACACTCTTGACTCTTTTGCTCATTAATGATTTTTTTTTACTCATACACTACTGAAATGCTCTTAGATTTACTAGAACACTCTCACAAATACACACACTATGTGAGATCTCAATATACGGTACCCTTCTGGAGCTCTCACACACTACTGAAAAGCTCAAACACACAATTTTGTTTTTATCACATTCATTAATAAATCGCTAATGATTTTTTTTTATGTCATCCAAACACTAACACGACTGAAAAGCTCTCACACATGATACAACACTCTCACACATGCAACTTAAATGCTGTCAAACACACAACTAAAACGCTCACATACAAAAATTTACTGACTGACATACACACACACACGCGCGACTGAAAAGCGCAGCTTCGTGTTTCATATGAGCGTCTTTCAGTATGACGTGAAAGGATTTTCAGCATGCGAGCGTTTTAAGTAGTGCGCGTGCATGCGTGACGGAGGGATAATCATGAATGATGGTCGTGGCGGCACGTATTCAGTGATGAGACCTCTCTCGACAGATGTCACGAAGACAGGCCGCTCGGGCCAGCACTTGCTCCCACTGGGTTTCCCTCCCCATCACCACCCTGTTGTCCGGCTGAGCCAGCAGACGCTGAAGCTCGGGGTAAACGCGGTCCTGGACGGTGGGGGGGAATCAAGAACAGCTCAATAACGGTGGTGGTGGAACAATTTGAACAGTGGGCATTTGTTGCGTGGACCCACCTCTTTCTTCCAAAGGGCAGCAGTGAGCCGCATGGCCACGGCTTTGAGTTTGAGGCTGCTCGCGAGCGTGCCGAGAGTCTGCAGGATCGTGGGCACACAGAGCTGCAACACAAAGGCACTTTTGTTTTTTGTTTTGTTCGGCTATCGACACGGCAACTTTGCTGCTTTGACCAGAATATATTTCTTTTGACCCTTTCAGGGACAGCGGTTACTACGGTGGACAACTGTGTTATGTCATCAAGTTACAGGGTGCACGAAAGGGTTCATCCAAATTGATGACCATCTACTTGCCAGTACCTTGTGGGTGCCGAGGTTTGGCAGGCAGTCGAGCACCGCGTGAGTCAGGCTTGGATCCTTTTCTTTCCCCAGCTTGAACAGCAGCACCGGAAGAAGAGATGGGACCTACAAGAGAGAAACGATGGCTCAAATAACCAAGTCCCATCAGTTGGTAAGCAAGATGGTGCATATAACGCAAAGAACCGACTCCAACTCCAGGGCGCCGATGAGATATTTGGTCTGGTTCAGCTGCCTTCTTCTGGCCACATTTTTCAGCTCCTCCCATAGATGTTCAACAGGGTTTAGATGAAGGATCTTCAGAATAGTCAGATCTTTGTGTGTGTTTTTGGTAAATATCGCGTTGGTGGGCCAAGCTTTCTTTCAATGCATTACTCCAGAATGCCTCGATAGTCTTGGGATTTCATTGTACCCTTCACAGACTCAAGACACTCAGTGCATGACAGAGCAAAGCAGCCCCAGAAAGAAGGATCAGATGATCAGATTTCGTTCAGTGGCCAGCACATTTCCTTCCAGGCCATTATTTTACTTTTCTTCTTCAAAATAATTCTGCCAGGCCACCAAAATGAAGCAAAGGCCGAGTTTCATTTTTTTCATTTGTCAATTGTTTTCACCAAATCTGCATTTATTCCTACATTGGTCTATTTTTTTTTTTTTATCTGTCTCGAACAGAAAGGAATCAACAATTTTCTTTACATGCAGACATGAGGTGCTAGGCTTGGCTGAAGAGAACAATCCAATTTGTCAACAGGCTTCTTCCACGACATCAATGCTCGGTGCAAGTGGCACTGTGGGAGCAATTAGAACAGCAGGGGGATCCTCTTAACGAGCAGCCTTGGCACCGTGTGCTATTTCACATCATTGTCTGGAGCCGGAGTGACTCACATTGCAGTCCCATGGGCTCAGAGGGAAGTCTGTCAGCAGCAGAAAGCCCACAGCTGAATGCAGCGAGTTTTTTGTTTTGTTTTTTTTGAGTCAAGTTTATCCTAAAAAAATATTGCAGAAATGTCACTTAAGTAGCCAGCGGAGAGCTACCACAGTTTGACAGTGATTTATATTCATTCAGTAGCCCAGAGACTGTCAAAAGCAGTAAAAATTGAACAACCGAGAGCCACTTAAACCACTGGTGCTGCATGATAAACTTAGGTGGGATTATGGCGACAAGATGGTCTCAAGTCCTTATCTACTAGTTTCAAGAAAAGCCAAAGTTAGTGAGGCAAAACTCAAGTTGAGTCTCCACTAAATTCAAGTCATCACTTGATTTTATTCAAGTCACAAGTCAGTCACATTAGCCACGATGCACCCAGCATCTGTTTCTCGCGTTAGCTAACTATGCCAACACGTTGACAAGTGCTGTTTTTTTTTTTCCCATGCTCCCAGACCTCACCGTAAAATCTTTATTATTATCTTCTCAATTTAACACAAAACCAACATGAAGCTCGGTGACTGTTTGAGCAGCTGTCAGTGAGCTAAACTGAGAGGCTAGCGTAGCTTGTCTGTCTTTGTAAGTTACACATTGAGAGATAAACTTAGTCTGTCTCTTAGTAGTCTTTTTTGTTGTTTGTTTTTTTGAGGCAACCCCTTTTCATTTAACATTTTGAATGGGTCTTTCGGTGTCGATCACCAACAGACCGGTTTCGGTGTTTTATTACCACCTCCCGTGACGCTGTTCGGGATTAGCGGTGTTGAAAATGGATGGATGGATTTTTCATAGGTTTTAGATAACTAAGCAAGTCCCAAGTCTTAAAATTGACACAAGTTGAATCACGAGGTTGGAGTCACGAGTTTCTAAGCCGGTTCACCAACACTCACCTGGTGGGGGTCGGCGGCCGCAATGGCCCGAACGGCGTCCAAAGCCAACCGGCAAACGTCGTCCTGACCCGTGAGGAGGAGGTGGGTGACCATGAGGGCGAGGGAGCAAGGCAGGCGCTGGTTTGACGACTGAGCCGAGGTGAACGAGAGGAGCCAGTCGACGGCCGCCGATGGATGATGGACCGCTTGGCGTAGGGTGGACACGGCCACCCTCACTTCGCTGAACCAGGGAGTGAGAAGAAGCGCCTCTGGTAGATAAGACTGACAACAAGGACAGGGTTGTCTTTATCTCGCAATGGGGGCACAAAAATAGTTTTTCAACTAACTGGTTGTTCTTGACATGAGCAATTTTCTGTTTTGCGTTACAAGCAATGAATTGAGTTGAACCATCGACAACATTTAAAAACGAGGCCAAGTGTGCTTCAAGCCGTTTCATGCCTCTCCCAAATGACGTTTACTGTAAAACTAAGCACTATTTCACGTTGTGCATTTCAACAAACCATATAACTTTGTCTTCCAAAAGTCCATTAACTTAATAACTCAACACAAGGAAAACTGTCATAGACGGCGGGCTAACGAAACGAATATCAATGTACTGGTAGTTATAAATCATGACAATGAACCACAATTCATATTTGTGTTTTGATTCACTTGGGGAATGGGGAAAGATCATTTGAGACACAAGCGAGTTGCGAGCATGAGTTCATTTTGCAGTTCAAGGCACCTGTTGGGGTTTAGCGGCCTGCCCGGTGACGCTGTGTAGCACGCGCTGAGCTAGCTTCTGGTTGAGCTCATGCGTGTCTCGCTCTGCGAGCGGCTCGGTGAGATCCGAACAGGACAGGAGCTGCAGCACGGGAAGAACCAGGACCGGACTCAACCACTGAGAGAGCTCAGTGTGCTCGGGCACTAAAGTTAGCACTGGAACGTGGACAGAAGGTTGTGGAAATGAGCAAAAAAAAGAGTGTTTATAGACTGTCTGCAAATAAGTGTGTACAGTATCCGTTTATTTGCAGATATACTGTATGCATACATACTGCATGAATGTGTGTTTAATCGTGGATACCATTTTTCAGTCAGTTTTTTTTTTTTTTTTTTTTTACCTAGACTGAGCAGGCTACTCTGCTGTGCTGCGGGGGCCTCAAACAGGAGCAAGGCTACACCCATTAACAGCTCATCAAAAGGCAGCTCCTACAAACAAATGTATCACGCTTCGTCTTCGTAACCGCAGCCTGGACACACAAATGCCGATGAAACATACGAGTCACGCCGGCTGACCTGTCGGCACGTCGGGACGAGCTCCGTCATCAAGCCTACGAGAGGTCGACAGTCTCCGCTGAAGCTGAGGCAGCGCTGACAGGCGCAGAGCAGCTGGAGCAGGTGACGCAGCCTCTCGCTCCTCCACGGTTCTCGGCGCTTCACGGACAGACTGGGAAGCAGGGCGCCGATCATCCAGTGCAGCTCCAGCACCGTCTCCACACAGTCCACCTGTCATGACAAATATGCCAAGGGGTTTTGTCCGCGGTCTACAATCAGCAGGCGTCTGCATCCAGCTCAAAAACCTCTGACATCATGAAAAGCGTTGCCACTCCGTTGGCAACTTGAAACTGCAATTGGCCAATAAACCTGATTCTGAATCTTAAAAACCCTGCCATCGTAGCAATCAATTGTATGTCAGCGACACTTTGCTCTTACTTACCGGCATGTGCGGCACCAGCCGGCAGAGGCACCGGAGCAGGCTGTCGAACGCCGGCGAATCCTCGTCCTCCTCCCGCTCTTTGTTCTGAGGGGCGGGCGCGCCGATCGCATTTGCGGGGAGCAGCGTCCGCAGGAGGCCCTGTCGGAGGAAGCCGTGCTCGGACCGCCTCTCGGGTTGGCAGTAGAGGTAGCGTAGGAAGGGGACCAGCATGGCCACGTAGGCGGGCTCATTTCTGGGTCATCACAGACAACAACATTGCAACCATTCCGGCCAGCAATAAGCGAATTGGGATGGGAGGTTCAAGGGGCTTGCCTGTCAACAGCCTGCTGAACAAACTCAGCGATCGCGGCCAGAATGGCGGTCCAGCAGTCCGGACGGTTCTCCAGGGCTGTTATGTATGGGTGGGGACTATTCCTGTGTCAATGTAAAAGAGGACAACACGGGACAGGACAAGTATCAAGGGGACATAAAAGTTGCTCTTGTTGGAAACTTGGAACTGTGCGCAATTGCGGGAAAAAAAATAAAAGCATCGCGTCTCTTTTAATTTGCTGGAAAATTGACCCCCCCACCATCCAATGCTACTTTTAAAGAGAGTGGAAACTGTCGTGGATTAATGAAGCACTGCCTCTTTTAAAGACTTGCCTGCGCCTCTGCGAGTCCAGACTAAACACTTCAAGTCAAATCCAGGGTGAAGTCTTGAGGGTCACCCAGGTACCCCAAAGGCCCACTTAAACTAATCCTTGGTCCCATCAATCCACACGGAAGGAAGTTCAGATCGCTTCTTTGCACTCTTTTGATTTTTTTTTTAGCCTGCTAACAATCTTTAAATGGATGGAGTTTGAAATGACTCAATCAGACAAACATTAACACGGCTGAAATTGTACAAACACAAATGGCCAGCGCAAAGCCTTAAAGGGTGAAGTGAAATTGGCACGGCACACCCGACGACATTTCACCGCACATGAATGTGCCACGGCGCAGCGGTTGGGAAGCGCCGCTGCACGCGACTGACCTGATCCCGTAAGGACAAGTGAAGCCTGCGTCGCGGTCCCGGCGGTCCGCCTGCATCTGGAGCAGCTTCGCCACGACTTGAACCAACCCGTGGACGTTCCTGAGGACAGCCCCGGTCAAAAAGCCGGCACAAAGGAAGAGAACCGCGAAGCGCGGCTGAGATGGTGTACCGTGCGGAAGGCAGCAGGTTGAGGACGCCGTTGAGGACCTGCTGCGGGTCGGCGTGGCCTTGGTCCACCAGCAGCACGACGGCGTCACAGCAGGCCGAACGCACCACGGCGCAGTCGCCGCAGCACCGCTCCCACAGAGTCTCCAGTGCCGAGCCCTGACGTGACAGAACCGCTTGAGCTCGCGCGAACCTTTGCCAGTCAATCACAGGGCACGCGGCGAGGCAGCGCAGCATCCACGCACACAAGACACCCCAATGCAGCTCGCACCGAAACGCAGGCTGGCGTACCACTGCACCGTCGTTGACATGCACTTGGAACAAAAACAGGACTTTGAAGGGAATCACCTGCGTGGAGGACAGGCTGATTTGTCCAGTCTGGCTTTTCTCCCTCAGCACAGCAGCAACAAGCTTTCTCACCGCCTGCAAAACAAAAAAAGCTCCATGCAGACTACTTCGGAAGTATGACAAACTTCTTTTTTTTTTTTTCTAAACAGCTTAGCACAAGGGGACGCTACATTTCTGACTGATTCCTCCATCTCCTGCTCAATGCTGTTTCCACCGTGGCAGGCAGCCAAAATCTCGCTCCCGCTCTGAAATCACTCCGCCACCATCTCTCCAATTGGACAAGCTGAGATGTCATCACACCTAAATTTAAATTTTTTCAATTCTTGTGTTTGCCTGTGAACATCTAACAACCCAGAGAAGGCATCGGTGAAAACAGTGCGGCGTGTGAGGTTTTCGGCAAAGTCCAGGAACAGTGAAATCAGGTCTTGGGTCTTCCGGCATGACAACGATCCAAAATCTACTGCCAGGATAAAAAATGAGCGGCTCATGAAAAAAGCATATTCAGGCCGTGGGGCGACCAAGTCAATCTCCAGACCTCGACCCCATAGAGAACCTGCAGTGGGAGCTGAAGCCTCGAGTTGCCAAGGGGCAACCAAGACACTTGGATGATTTAGAGACACTTTGCGACTTGCTATTGTTTTACGATCTTCAATATAGAACCATGGAAATCATGATTTCCCACTGTAGATGCATTCGCAGCTCACCTCGACTTGTATGATGGGGCTCTGGAAGTCAAGTCGCACCTTTAAGGCCTCCATCATGCCTATGAAAGCAGGAGAACTGAGTAAGGAACTCTGTATTTTTCAGCATGGTCGCGCGGTGTCAGAGCCCGGCCCCACCCTGCCATTAAAAACAAGTATCAGGTGTCAGCCTGTGAAAGACAAGTGATGCCACCACCTGTCGCCTCACACAAAGTTACCGAGGACGGTGACGCTCTGAGGTGTACGACGTTGGGGCCTTTGAAAGACGATCCCCGTCTCGTGTAGTCACATTATCGGCCTCAAGCCGTGACATAAACCATCATTTCACGATTCACATGGCAACAGAATGGCAGACCCGCGTCCTCTCAACTCAGCGGGCCAGACATGAGCTGACTCTCAAATGTACGGGAATCAGAAGCTGAAAATGACTGTATATGCTGATTTAGCCCCCCCCCCCCCCTCCCAAAAAAAAAGCAGAACGATTGATGTACAATTTGCAGCAGGAGCAGCAGCACAAACAAAAAAAATGATGTAAGGGTTTAACATGACTAGAAATACAGGCAATGAGTGTGAACCCAGCACCCACCCAAGCAAACCTCCCCTCCCCTCCCCCAAAAACTGTTATCTACTTGATAAGCCAGTGTGCTCTACTGTCCAACAGCAGCACGCAGGGCCTCTGGCTCTCACCGCCAGGCTGCTTGACAAGCGACATGAGCTGGTAAGTCTGCTGCACCTGCCGCAAAAAAAACAAAAAAAAAAACATACGGCAAAGAACAGGACAGGTTTCAAACGCTCCTTCTTGTACTGTCATTTCAAAATGAACATCCGTGAAGTTTGACAAGGTGCTCAAGTCTCATTCTGCTGTCAAAACACGCGTCCTTGGGGGTTTTCAACTTGACTCAGTAAAGCCTCTAAGCGTTTGGGCATTGACGCGTTCGAGCAGTTTCTACTGCATATTTTCCAAACTGCTGAATAACATGGACCTGCAACTGCAAAGGTCTGCATTAGCGGCACTTGTTGAGCCAACAGCGCTTTAGAAAGGACACCGACGAGGCTTTGCTGTGCACACGCCAAACACACAACCCGGGAGTCAGAGTGGCCTTTGACCATGCGCCAAAGCAGGCATATAATTGGACCTGTTATTGCTAAATGAGGACAAAATCCATCTTTGGTCACTGTAGTTGAGTTTCGAATGTATGACAGAGCAATTAAATCAGTTAACAGAAAACAGCCCAGCATCAGTTATAACAACCCCAAATGACGTTTGTTCTGAGCCAAAATACGGAAAATATTCCACGATTTGACGTTCCTTGAATACGATTTTTTTCTTTTGTCTTCTATGTTGGAATTAGCACAGCGGCTTAATGAAAGAAGGTTGATGAACAATCAAAAATGCAACACGCGCCGAGACCAGTGTATTGTACTTTCAAACATGCATTTCTAGTGGACGTTCGTGTACAATGCAATCAAGCTGACAAACAAGAGTTTGAACAATGGACTCATTTCTAAACGTGGTTCTATCAAGCTAAATTAAAATACAATCTTAAATCAATTGCGGCAGTGGTGCAGTTGAGCATAGTAGTTGATAGGTGGATTTATTTGGACTTTTGTATTCTAAAAAAAAAAACAAAACAAAACAAAACAAAAACAACGTACTTTTACATTTATCAAGTCAGCACAGCTGTGACTGTAATAAGCCACCCTGAGGCTAACCTGCTAATAGCTACACATCAAATACCAACAAGAGCCTAATCGGCCCGGCAAATTATACACTATAAGACCTGCTGTACATCAAGCCTTATAGTTGCACACTGAAGAATGTCAGAATCTCAATTAAAGCAGAATTAAAGTTTTTACTTGAATGGTTATAATAATCTTTACCTCATTCACAGACACGAAGAGCGTGGAAGTACGGCAGAAGCCGAGGGTCAAGACTGACGTTAGGTTTAGCTATTTCTGTGATTACTCTTTTTGTGATTACAAATCATTAGCCAGTAAAGCCTGATTATCCCGGTGTTTAATATACAGTGCCATAGAAGTTAAAGTGAATGGTATCGATAACATCTGACGACTTATATTATTTAGTTTTAGGACTACATTTCATTTTCACTTGTCTCCCAGGGGGACCCGAAGGCAGCGTGACTACTACTTCCCTTCTCTTCTCCCATTGGTTTATTACCCTCTCGTGCTCGCTAGAACATGCGCTACGCATGCGCTTTGCCGCTCATTCAACAAGCTATCGGAATTGAGCAATACATCACGGGTAGCAAAATGAACTTTTGCATTCAAAGTAAAAGCATTCAATTTTTACTTTTTATTTTTGGAACACTGTAAACGATGAAACGAGCACCGATGCAACAAAAATATTTAATTTATTTTGGTTATATTTTCCTGACTATCAAATAAATCATGCTCAATACAGGTAAGCGCGACGTCGAGCGACTTTGCTTTATTTTGAAAGTCTCTGTCGGACGTGTATTGTTTTATATCTGGTCTCTTGACCGCCGGCGAGTCTTGGAAAGTCTTGAATGTGACTTGGAGCGCAGTGAGTGGCGATCATGTCTGCCGTCACGCGCGGATTGGATTTACCTGACTGCACTGTCTTTCCCAACTCCGTCTCCATGAAAACGCAGTAACGCGGGGCCTCGGGAATGGCCAATTCGGTGAGTAGCCATTCGGGAGGGTTCGGGGCCAGCTTGGCTGCCTTAATGAAGGCAGTGCTTGTATATGTCACACCCGAGGAGTCGGTCCTTTTCACTCCGTAAAAAGGATTTGACCAGCACGTTAGCTTTAGCCTGTACGTCCCGCTATCTTTGCCTTTTTTTCACACCCTTAAAGTACAGTATTCCCAAACGGTTTCCCCCGAGTCCGAAATAGTTATTTGGTGACTTGGATAGTCACATCCATATTCAAGTTTACAAAATACTCTTAACTGTAATGGAGAGTCCTCGTTACTCCCCTGTCTTGTGATGTGATGTTATTCCTAACTGGGGAGTTTCTTTTCCACTGTACTGACTTGTCTGTGATTTGAATGTACTCGTTTTTTTTCCCCTCCCCAAGTCAAATAGAAGTTTACTGTGCCGACCACTTCAATAGGTACACCTGCTCAATTCAAGTCTGTTGTCAAAAATTTGGAGGAAAAAAATTGCTCGCATACCATGTTACTGGTGTAAAAATGCACCTTTTCCCGAATGTTTCCAAGCTTGGCAACATGTTAGTAGCCCTCAGTATGATGCAGCGTTCAGTGAAGATGAGCATTTCCGAAGTAGTACGTTTCACCTGAAAAAAGTTGATTTTTAATTCTCAAGCAAACGTTTCAAACCTTGCGACAGATTAGTCATGATTTACCCAAGGATGACAAATCAACATCTCCCTTCCCAGGGCGCCGTTCAGGTGAAACTCGAACTCGGCCACCGCGCCCAGTTCCGAAAGAAACCCACGGTGGAAGGCTTCACGCACGACTGGATAGTGTTCGTCCGGGGCCCGGAGCACAGCAACATTCAGCACTTTGTGGAGAAAGTTGTCTTTCACTTGCACGAGAGTTTCCCGAAACCAAAAAGAGGTGAGCCGAGCTGCTTTTCATACTTTTGAATTGCCCTTGTAGATGTTTGCCGCTCACTGTCGACCTCTGTGAACTTTAAAGTCCTCTGGAAAAAAGGCAAATAAGTTGTGCTGGTTGGGAAACTGTGATGAAAAGGATTTGGTGTTCAGCTCTGTTGGGCTGATGCATTCAAGTCCCCTTTACGGTGGGTGGGTGGGAGCGAGGGAGAGAGGGGGTTGGGGGGGGGTCAAACAAATGACGAAAGCTCAGGACAGTCTTTTAAAGACGATCAAGTAACTTTTGGTGACTTTGATCAGGAACGCTGAAATTGTGGCTCAAAATTGGCCTGATTATCGGTACGTCTGTACCCGCTTTCAAATCCTTCACACCACAGGATAATCACTCAGCATTGTCATTCCGACAAATGTGATAATCAGGCTGACTTTGATCGGAAACGGGAGAACGGGCTTGGTATGTCTGCACCTGCCTAAACACGGACGGGCCACACCACAGGGAGATAGCTCAGGATAATCTTTCAGACATCCGCTTACTAGGCTTTCGCTGACCTTACCGGGAAAGCAGGAGATCGTGCTCAAAATTGTCACGATTATTGCTATGTCATTATCTGGCTGAACACACCCCACACCAAGAGATAATAGAGACATCGATAAATGGGCGCTTGTCAATTTTGATTGTAAGTGGGGAAATGGGCTTCAAATCAGAGAGTTTATCCTAACGTGTGTAACCTGATTTAAGGTCGAGGACCAATTTCACGAATAAAATACCCCTTCAGATTTCTCTCCAGTTTCGTGGCTATTAATGGCAGATAAGCGTCTTTCATATTCATTTAAGAATGAATCAATTCCGGTGCAGGCAATGTTGTATCGTGTGGGGTTCAAGCGTGGCGCTAATCGCATTCTGAAGACATTTGGAGGTGCAATGCAATCTCATTGCTGCCTGGCACACTTGCAGGCCCGATTCCAAATCTTTTGTTGGACTCCGTGTCACCGCTTACAACCGGCAAGCACCAAGCCGGAGTTGAAACTGATGCCTCCTTCTTGCTGGTGTTCCCGCCACATTGAGGGAACCCCCCCCCCCACCAAAAAAAAGGATGCCACTGCTTCATTATTACCTCAAACTGTTCTCGACTGTTGCCATGGGAACACCCATTGGCAATGGCTCCTCGACAGGAGCCAAGGAAGACACAGTGTGTTTTTTTTTTTTTTAATGCTTTTTTCTCGGCGCCACTGATGGGATGTAATGGCCTCAGCTCAAAGGGGGAAGACGGAGGGACGACGCGTTCGTTGAAGGCTGAGATGCCAGTCTTGAAAATGACTCCCTGACCAGCGCTAATGGCGAGGTATCCCCATTCCTGGAAGAAAGAGCTTACTGTTGGCCAACTTGCCGACAGTATATATGCGTGCGCGCGCGCGCACACACACACACACACACACACACACACACAGTCTGATGGCGTCATGATTGGTCCAACATGTTTGCCCCCTGGCTGTCTTTTGGCCTCTGTTGAGCACTGGCACCAACCCTCTTTAGCTTCCTCCATGCCCACCATTGATGGTTTCCTTTGCGGCCTGCTGATGCGCGCGCACGTCGAAGATGCCCATGCTCCATGTCCAAATGAGCCGGAGCTTCTTCCACAAAAATGCTTTTGTTATTTTGTGGTCTGTTTGAGAGCACTGCCTTGGTCACAGTCTTTTGGAGGTCGAAAACGTGCCGTGCTCGAGTGGAAGGTATCAAAGGTTTCTGCGAAGAGAACTGATTTAATTCCTTCGGTGAAAGTCAGGATGTACACAGTCTGAAATATTCTGAAGTGCAGAATGAAAAATGAATTATTGACTGAATTAAAATGAAGCATATTTGCGCAAAGCTGCTCCTTTTTTTTCTCTTCTGTGAAGAGGAAAAAAACTCTTCCCCGACTGACAGTTTCGGCCGTTGCTTCAGCCTTCATCGGAGTTGTCAGTACTAGAGAAACCTTCAAAATAAGGCTCCCGACCCGGCCAGCTTTTTTTAAGACGTCACCAGGAAGTATTGACGGCTCCGATGAAGGCTGAAGCAACAGCCGAACATGTCAGCCAGGGAAGAGTTTTTCTCTTCACAGAGGGGGGAAAAAAAAGCCATTGTCTGGGGGAAAAAAAAAAGAAACCTTCAACCTAATTTTCAAAATTGGTTTCATAGAAAACGCATTTGGCACACCTCATTCCGGAGCCGTCATCAAAAAATATTTTTCCACGAAGCCGTGCGAATTTGTTGCATCACCATCATCCTCATTCGCTCTCCAATTCACGTTCATCCATGTCGTTGCTGTCTTGTTATTTTTTTTATGCCCCCAATGTGACATTTCTCTGATTATTATTTTATTTAGTTATTTTTTTCCATTCTGTCTTGTGCAGATGTTGGAAAAAGAAAAAAGCAGCGAGCCTATTTTGACACGCAAGATGTCATTAAAGTAGATCTCTTTTATTCAAATGGAGGCGGTTAAAGTCAAGTGTGGTCCGAAAATGAAATGCTGCTGAAATCTACTTGAGTCCCCAAAATTGAGCATTTGTTACTTCCCACCGCCTCTGTCCCCACACAATGGAAAGAACAACCCCCCACCCCCTCAAAAAAAAAAAGAAAAAAGAACTCCCGTGCAATAAGTGCAATACAAAGGGAACCCGAGGAATGAAAGTTCCGGACTGAGTGCTGCAGGCAGCATGAAAGGAGCCCAGAGGTGGGGGGTAGGGGTGGGCATTTGGGGGCAGCCACCACCTAAGAACAGGAACTGAGCCGTAAATCCCGGCTCTCCGTGGCTTCGCTCAATGAGTGGAGCGCGCTTTATGAGCCTTGTTGTCTCTTGCCGTGTCTTTCAGTCCTTTTTGCCCTCAACCGGGCAGCCGAGCACGACTTGAAATAAGCGGACCCCAAAAAGAGCAATCGTTCTTATCGTTGGTCTTTTTGTCTTGGTCAAGTTAGCGGGCTCAAGTTCAAAGTCCGGCAGAGCCAAACGGCGCATATTGACCCCGTATCTGCCACGAGCCGGTCAAAGGGCAGCCGATGAGCAGACGCATCGAGCCGCCCACCAATCATTTTGAGACGGTTCCACCTTCGGGTAATTTTTTCGGTGTTGCGAGCTCAACTCCCGACGGCGGCTGCCGTCGCTTACGTTAGCGAGCGCTTTCAAATGCGTTTATGCTGAAAGCATTTTTGTCTTGAGCCCCCGCTGGCTGTCGCCGAACTTCTCCAGACCGGCCACCTGCGGCGCGTCTTCCGAGTGACTTGTCTGACAACGCAAACTTGGATCTTTCTTGGAGAGTCGGCCTTTTAATCTTGCCCCATTAATCTCGCGCCCGTTTGCGTTGTCCAGTCTCGCTGTTAGCTGATTAGCGCCAGGTCGTTTGGGTCAACCGGGCCTGTTAAGAAAACATAGTGCGAGGTTGTTTTTTAAAAGACTGGGCCTGTTCAAGCGTGCTGCGTCGCTAATCACCACCCGCCATTGTCAGGGCCCTCCTCGTCATGAACCGCTATATTTTTTTAAAAAACGGTTAGGTGCTACTTAAGTTTCCCAGGTAACCCTTTGTACAGGAAACTGATTCGAAGGTTCAGTTACAGATGATAGTGTCGTTATTGTAACTGTATTTTGGCATCTACCCTCGGCGCAGCTGGTGTAGGAGCAACTGCAAAACGTACATCTATCATCAAGTATCAATTGCTCGGTATCGGCAAGTACTAAAATGAAACTATTCTTTTGCTTGGTCTTCCAAAAAGTGGGAACGGTACATCCTGACTTACCGCTATCTTCCTTTGTTTATCGCACGCTTTGAGACATTGTAGAAGACTCGGGTCACGTTTGACGTGGAACAGCCGGTGTGAGCAAAAACTTTGAAGTACCTGCTCAAAATTTTGTCAGACAGTCTTTTCATTTGGTGTATTTTTGGGTACATTGATTGGACATCCACGGTTGAGGCATTCAGATTACGAGTCAACAAATGTGGAGGGAGTGTTTTTTTTTTTTTTGGGGGGTGCCAGTCTTTTTTGGGCCCCCCCCCTCTTTAAGCTCGCTGTCCGGCCCGGCCTCATTACAAGGCAGTCTGTGCAGAAAGGCCAAATGCAAAGTGACTGGCATTGTTCTGTGATTGGCATCTCATCTGGAACCAAGACTTGAGTGCAAAGAAAGAAACGCTAATTTTCTCTTCCAGGTCAGCGGTTACTTTGTGACCGCTCAACTCCGCTGCCCCGACATGTTGATTGGCTTTATCGCCACGCGGTAATCGCGTCAGCTATATTTCCAGAAATATGTACAATCGGTGAGACAAGTATGGAAGCGTGCAACTGTGAACTTTGGAACATTGGACTTGGAATGAGCAGCAACAGCATTGGAATGACGGCAATCGATGATTATGGAGGCGGGGGTCCTTGCCCTTGTTTCCGATGAGCACGGTGCTCAATCAACATAAATTATTATTATTTTTTTTTAATAGCCTGAAAGTAGTTTTCATACAATTTTCTTTCCATGATTTACTTTTGTACTTGAGTACGTAGTTGGCCTAGTTTAGTGATCACTAAGATTTCATCACAAGGCACGCTACATTCCTGCCATACTGTTTTCCAAACATACTTCCAGCTTAAGAGTAATGATGACTTCACTGTTGCATTAGCGTCGGTTCGTGGTTGTCCACAGCCCGGCGTAAGATTGCGTTGGGGTCAATGATTTTGTGTTCATAGCGCTTGTAGAAAATGTGGACAAAAAAAAAACACCCTTAGAGTAAACCCAAACTGAACTGATCACTCTTGATTTCACCCAAAGTAGGATTATTATTATTATGTTTCATTTTATGATCACAATCATTTGATCTTCTTATGATTTAATTGCTGTAATAATTTCCATTTTTTGATGGGCCGCTGAAAAATGGATGGCGGGCCGCGTAGGCCCCTCGTGCCGCAGTTTGGACATTGACATTTTTCTGTCTCGAAGTGTTGTTCGTGCAAATACAGGACGGTGAGAATGACTTCACTGTTGTGTGAGCTTATTTTAGAGAGAGAGGACGATGACGATGCGTTCTGATTCGCGTCTGTGTTGCCGTTTTACATCGTTGCTCCAGGAACAGAGGACGCCCTGTATATTTTTTGTTGGTGTGTTCGGAGCAGCGTTTTTCTTTTTTTTTTTTTTTTTCCCCCAGTCATCCAGTGTGTCAGCATGCCCATCGCTTCCTCAACATGTTGAATGGGTCTCTCTTAGCTGGACGTCATTGAACGTGACCCCCTCGCACAATTATCTCCAACCCAAAATATTTGCTCAGCGATGTTAGGCTTTGCCGGTGAGTTCGTTTGCCGAGCCATCAATCCCAGGGAAGCAGGGGTGGGGGGGCGAAACGAAGCGCCCAGAGATGGACGACGACAAGGGTGGAGTGAAATAATCGGCGTATTGGAAGGGGTTCTTTTTCAACCGTCGAGTGTCTCAGGCCTCCCGCCATATTCCGCCGGGAAAACAGGCTGACAAACAAGCGCCTCTGAGCCAAGAACACCTGAGCTCAAGTTGAGTTTGTTTATCCTAGAAGTCCATGGGGGAAGGGGCGAGGGGGGGGCGGGGGGCTTCCGCCCGCTGGCATGACTGACAGGGTGGTGATTTTTTTTTTTTCTTTTGATTGGTGAGCACAGGGATGGATGTGGGACTGAAAATTAGCCCCGGTGAGGAAAAAGCTTTGTTGAGCGTGTGATTGCATGAAACGCTTCCCCTTTTTGTTTTTGTTTGCAAGTTTGCAAGGATCCACCGTACAAAGTGGAGGAGTCGGGATACGCCGGCTTCATCTTGCCGATTGAAGTTTACTTCAGGAACAAGGTACGTTCAACGTTGATTCCTTTTTGCTCCCGAAATGGATGCCTCCGGTCCAACGCATGACCGCTGTGGCTGCAGGAAGAGCCGAAGAAAGTCCGTTTCGACTACGACCTCTTCCTCCACCTGGAGGGCCACCCGCCTGTCAATCATCTCCGCTGCGAGAAACTCACCTTCAACAATCCCACGGAAGAGTTTCGGCGCAAGCTCCTGCGAGCCGGCGGGGTAGGTGGCGGGCTCTCTCCTTTTTTGTCTTCCACGCCATCCGTTCTGGACAGACCCTGCGGTCGCACCTCCACCATCCTCGCGGCTCTGCGTAGTCGTTCCTGCTGCTGGGAAGCGGCGGCAGCGTCCATTTTATCTGCCGGCCCACAGAAGACCCCTGTCGTCTGCAGCTTTTACGACCCGAGCTAAGTGCTCTGTGTTTACTTTGCCTGCACGTCTTTCGTAGCCTTCAAAGGCAAAGCCACATTCCCGCTCGGCGTCGAGCAATCGAAAGCCTCACCTCACACGCACGCACACGCACGCAACGTCGACTGAAAATGACTTGGTCATGAGGAACGTGCTAACAACTTCTCTCGTCTTTTCTTTGAACAGCAACGGGATCCGCACAAACGCACCTCGGAGGACTCAAAAGTAAGATTTCAATCGTCCAGAAATAAGTCGTTGGCCTTCAAGTCTTCATTTTTCTTCATTGTGAGAAATGATGATTTTGTTTTTCATACAAGGAGTGACTACAATTTCTAGCACCCTCTGCGAGCGCATGATGTTGAGAATGCAACGTTACTTGGATAGTTTGATCTTAACGGTATGGCCTAGAAGTGTTTATGATCTGTGGACGCACCGCAGTTTGGACTTAATTATTGGTAACTCACAAAATAACTAAAAAAAAAAACCACACAAAAACAAACAAAAAAACCAAAATGTTAAAAAAAAAAAAACACACACAAGTAAATGAAACTGACTAGAATTACAGCAAAAATGTCCTTTGTTTTTGTCTTGGTCAATTAATGTCATACTCAAGTGTTTGGGATTGGTTTTAAATGTATTTCCATAAACAATAAATAATCTATATTTCAACAAAAAAACTAAGGCTCATGACAGCTGAACTAAAACAAAACATTTTTAGAAAAATAAAAATGAACACACTAAAAACAGATTAAAACTTCCCAAATTTAAAAAGAAGAAGTGTCAAGTCAAACCGAAATAAAAACTAACTGGAATAAAAAAATCCCAAACTATTATAACGCTGCTTCGAGCGTGTGCAAGCATACGTTATCGATGAGCAGACGGCTCGGTGTAGGATTAAACGGCCAGGCGGGCCAAGAAGTCAGCTCAGCTATTGTTGTCCAAATATTTTGTCAAATGATGCTACTTGAGCCTCGTTTGGTGATTGACTTTGGTCTGGTGTACGGATGCAGCGCAAATATCGTCATGACTTGACCACAGAGAGAGCAAATTGAAGAAACCAGGGGACGAGCTAACGGCAGTGGGCCGCTGTTCTTCCGGCAGGTGATGGTCATGCAGGAGGGCTCAACGTCCTTGTTTGGGCCGCACATGAAGCTCCCGACGCTTCCCAACAGCTCCTTGGCGTCCGCCTTCTCTGAGCCAAGGAAGAGCAAAAGCTCCCATGGGCCCAAGGTCAGTAACACGTCCACCAACGGCCTTTCACCCTTGGCGCCTGCTTCCAAGTTGTCCCATCTGCGTTTCCACATATCATCTTGTCAGATGGACAGTTGTCCTCTTTTCTGGTCTCCTTGTTACTTACTGGCACCCCAAACGTCACCCGCTTCACTGGCCTGTGCTGTTGTGTCGACAGCCTTGACAAGTCTCTCCCCCCCGTTCGGGAGTGTTCATAGCTGCGCGGTCACTGGAGTTCTCTTGCTAAGCACGAAACGGTTTATTTTACATTCGGCCACGGGGGGGGGGGTTGGCTTGACTGCTGTGACGGAGCATGCTCGAGTTTGGAATGAGCCGGCCGGCAGCTTTATATCCTCAAGGTCCCCGGGTCACAAACCCATAGACAATCTAAAAAGGCCTTTGGAAGTGTCGGGGACTTGGAACACACCCCGTCGTCTAGACTGTTTTAATGGCTTGATTGCAGGGATGAAATATCGGCAAGACGGCCCGAGGTGAGACCCTGGGCCAACCCCCGGTCATTACAAACAATTCATTTCCTCTTTTTCCTCGAAGCCGCCATTCCGCTCCATGTTAAAAAGTGCTTGTGGAGCTGTTGAAAAGCACCTCACTCAAGCAGCCTTCGTTCCAGAAGCAGACCATTCTATCTTTTACCGATAATATGAAAATACATTGCTTTCTCATGGAAAAACTATTTTACGAGGGCCCAACCTCGGCCAGTATTAGCTCTTTTAAATTCATCAAAATTTTTGCGTGTGTGTGTGCGCATGTGCATGCATGCGTGCGTGCGTGTGTTTGTGGGGTGCAGTGGGGGGGTGTCAATGTCCAGAAACCTGGCCTTGATCAAGATGAACTCTCAAATTTTAGGTCCGTTTCCATGCCGTGGCTGCTCTGAGTCACGAACTGCCCCACTGTTGTGTGGTGTTCCACAGGGCTCAATTCTGGGGCCTCTGCTTTTCTCACTGTATCTGCTCCCGTTGGATTCCGTCTCAAGGAAACATGGTATTTCCTTCCACTGCTATGCTTTTATCCTGCTTGGAGGATATCCAGACCTGGATGGCACTAAATTTCTTGAATTTCAATGAAAATAAGACAGAACTGATGGTGTTTGGTCCCAGTGGTCCTTGGACATCCCATCCTGTAAATTTGCCCCCCCCACCCCGGCTCCTTATCTTCAGCAGCTTCGAATTTGGGTCTTAAACTGGACAGTGATTTGAAATTGGACCGGCAAATTGGTGCTGTTGTCAAATCCAGCTTCTTTCATCTAAGGTAGCTGTCTCAAGTCAAGCCTCTGACTGGAATGCACTTTACTTTGGTGTCAGCCAATCCTCTTAAGCATCTCCAGTTGGTCCAGAATGCCGCTGCGCGCCTGTGGCTGGTACTCATAAGAGGGAGCACATCACTCCGACTCTGGCGTCCCTTCACTGGTTCCCTTTTAGAGTACTTTGTGAGAACCTATGCTTTTTTCTTCTCCAGGAGCAGCAATTTTGTATACAGCGGTGGTTGTTTTCAAGTGCTCTAGAAATACAGTTTAGTTGAGTTATTTGCCCGAGTCGTCATGGGAACTGAAGCCTCACTTCAGATTGGCTCAGCAGCTGAGATGCGACTGCCTGCGAACGTCAAGTCATCTCTAATTCTTGTTTGCAATAGGACGGCTCCAAAGGAAGCGGTGTCAGCCTTCTCACCACGGCCACAACCGCCAGCACCAACAGCAACAGCAGCAGCACCACCAGCTTCTCCAAACTACACAAGCCTTCCAAGGAGCAGAAGGACAAGCCGTCAAAAGACTTGAAAGAGAGCAAAAGTGCCTTCAGAGACACGTGCTGGGTGTCCGGCAAAGCCCCGAAAGAACCTTCCAGAAAACCCAAAGAGAACCAGCCGCTTCAGAATAGCAACCCTAAAATGGGATTCAAGGAACCCAAGTCTTCGTCTCATCGGGGCGAGGTGTCGCACCACGGGGCGAGCAAGCGACTCTCCGCCCCCGACGGGGACAATCATGTCACCAAAAAACGCAAAAGGGGATTTGGGGATTTGTCCGGGAAGCAGACATCTGGCTCCGACGCTCAACATTCCGACAAGAAAGTTCTGAAGGACAGGCCGCTCGCGCAAAGTGCTAAATTGCATCCAGAAGGTGACGACGCGGCGCACCGGAAGGCCTCGGCGCTTCCGCCGTTCCCCGACGCGATGGACCCCAACGATTCCGACATGGAGTCCACCAAGTCGGACGTAAGTTGGACACGAGAACAAGAGCGAAGCGCAAGCTTATTTTTGTGAACCGAACCGCATAAAATAACTCCAACTCAAAAAAACCAAAACATATTTCCTTTGCAATATAAAATAGAAAACAAAAGTTGAAGTTCATCAAATTAGCTCAAACTATTTTGATTGCAATTGTAGCACAGATGGCCTTTGTTTTTGTCTTTGCCAATTCAACTCGTACAAGAAAGAGGTCCTTTGAGAATTGTTATTTACTTGACTTGACTTGATCACACAATACTGAATGACCTTTGCACTCGACAAAGCTGCCATATATTAAAAACAAACTAAAACAAACGAAGATAAAGCGAACCGGCGGGTGGATCAAGTCCAAACAAAACCAAACCGAACTTTCATGTAAAATCTTTGGGACCCTGCAGAAGAGTCGCGTTTGTTTCCGTCCGTGTCACAGCACAGTGGCGTCGAAGGAATTTCACTTTCAAGTGAAGCACGTGTGCAAAGATCAAATCCTCTTCGCCTCCAGGGGGAGGATTTGTTGGTGGTCGCTTGTTGGTGTTGCGGGGCTATAAAATTGGATGGCAACCTGGGAGAGAATCTGCTTTTATGGTGCTCTGCTTGGCTGCGGGGGCCTGCGTCGGAGCCTTCGGTGCAAAGGCTGCGCACCAATGAAACCATGTTTGTTGGGGCCGCAACCAGGAACTCGACAACGGGGCCCGGAGTTTGATTGGAACACAAGATTGGGGCCTTGGGTCACAAATCTTGGTCTCCGGAGACGATCTGATTCCTGTCAAAGGGGCTGACGTTTGCGACTTGGTGTCGCCATAAAACAAGAGCGAGTGCCCGAGCCAAATAGTCGACGGGCGGCGGGATTTATGCTTTTACGGCACCTGAGAATACTGGCAATCGACTGCGGCGATTAGCACGACAATAGCAGCGGCGTGGTGGTGCCCTCGCGCTACCTCCGCTGCTTGCCTAGAGAAAGAACTTTCTTTGGAATGCAGGATGCGCTCCTTTTTTGTATGCGGGTGTGTCTTGGTTCCGTGCAAGTCGTTTTCTCGGGGGTGGGGGGTGGGGGGGGCTTCAAAAAAGGGATGCGGTGGAGGGGTGATACTTGTTTTTCAGACTCTCAACCCCGGTGGCCGCAAAGCTCCGGGCCTCGCTCGTCATGTGACCGCCGGTTCGATCTTTGTCTTCCCGCTGCTCACTGGGCCACAAACGGCAAATGTGGACGAGGGAGCCGCCGCCGCCATTTGGGAGCACTCGGCAGTAGTTCACCTGATTTGAAATTGGCGCGGCAACGTTGTAGAACGCAAGTGTCAAATTCCAAAGGTGGCAGTTTGAGAGTGGGGGCGGGGAGCACACGCGCGAAAAATTCAGTGTTCATCCGATGCGACTGGAGCGAACCAAACTCTGTCTTGCAGCGCGGGCATCACTATCATCCTTGTGCGAGAGTCGCACTCGCTCGACCGGTCGTTTATTTGAACCAAGCGACGGACGCTGTGACTGCGGAGCTTTGTTTTGATGCGTTGCGGAATACACGCCGTCCTTCCTTTCCTGAATTTGAAAGGAAGCACCTTTGCATCTCTCCCTGAGCCGATCGATGCCTTGCACCACAGAGCGATTGCTAAAAGTCAAGAGCCGCGGGCTCGTGTCGCCGGCTCAAAACGAAGATGCCGATTGGCACAAGAGGAGACGAGAGTTCCACAACGGAGGGCTCATCCGCAGGCATCCGGACGTCGGTCACAAAGAAAACTGAATTCGCACATTGGCATTTTGAATTTTTTCCCCATAAAATTGATTGTGGATCGTCAAGCGAACCGAATCGGTGATTGGAAGATTGGAATTTGCAGAGCTGAATTTTTCTGTGAGGAATTCCACTCTGATTTTCAATTCATGTCGCTCAGATCCACTTTTTCACCGCATTTATTCAAGTTGAGCTTGATGGTGTGTCAATGGTTCAGACTCCGTTTCTGGAAACAAGAACTGCATCTCAACTCACAATCACAGTCTGGATTATTCTTCCAAATACGTTCGGCTTTACCCCGCGTGAGTCAAGTTGAGGGAAGGAACAAGCAAGGCAAAGCCGAAATAGCAGCTCATTCCTGGAAGATTTGCTCTCCTCGCTTGCCGCCGGTGGTTGGGGTCGAGAGGGGGAGGGGGGTGGGGGTTGTTCCGAAGGTGTCCTCAAACTGCAACTAAAAGTCAATTGATTCCCTTTGAAGGGGGGCTGCTTTGCGGCTTTGAGGAAGGCAGAACAAAGGCCTTGAAAAGGAGCCGGCGCAAGATTTGTGGCCCGGCCGCCCGTGCGCCATAAAGCGAGAGACCAGCTGTGTTACGTTGGTGACGGCTCTGCCAGTCCTCCTCGCGCCTTTTGTCCCGTGCAGCACTTTTTTTTCTCGGAGAGCGCTTTTGACCTCTTTTCACCTCCGCTCGGCGAGACGCCGCTTCGCTTTTTCCCTGAACGCTGGTTTCCATGAAAAGGTGGCCCGCATGTTCATCTCCTTTCTTTGTTTGTTTGTTTCCCGCCTCTCCGCTAGTCAGAACAGCCCAGCCCGGCCAGTTCCAGCTCCAGTTCCGGCTTTGCGCCCACACACCACAAACGCCAAGGTAATGAATGCGTTGAAACTTTGGAGCGGTGTCGCTCGCGATCGTCGGTGACGATCAACTTGGCAGCGGATGCCGTTGTTGATGGTTCACCGCATCCCACGGCGGACGCGCTGGGTCGTGAGCTCTTTGGTTCAAATGGCGTGTGTGTGTGTGTGTGTGTGTGTGTGTGTGTGTGTGTGTCCCCGCCCCGGACGCAGTGGTGGATTTGATTGTCAGAAAGCGGGTGGCTATTCCTGACGCCACCCACACAGGTAACAGTCGACATGCCCGTCACGCCTCAGCTCCATTTGCAGCGTGAAAGCACATCGCTTCATGCCCGTCTTGTCATCGCATTTCCGTCTCAATTGTTTGTATCAAAGGGACGCTATGGTGGGGCCTGCCTTGCTTGCGTGATGCCATCAAAACTTTGTTTTTCCCAAAAATATGAGTCCAGTGCCCCTTTTGCACCCAAAACAAAAAAGCATGATAACCCCGCCCACCTGACATCATTGGTGCCGGGGTCTTGCCCCACAAATACCTTTGAAGAAGACCGTGAAAGAAATCGTCGCATATGAAATGGCAATCACACGATGACAAGGACAATCTTTTTTGAAAACCATTCAATTAAATCATTAAATCCAAAATCCGGTATTTGAAAATACCGGATTTTGGGAAAGGGGGTGGAGGGGTTGTCCAAAAATTTTTTTTCCCCCGCCGTTGGTACATCTTGAGTGCATTTTGATGCTTTTCCATGCGGCAAGCGCAACAGGTCAGCACGTCTCACGCCGCTCGTCTTTCTCCCCGCGTGCATGTGCGCTTCCTGCCCAGTGCTCGGCCCGCTGCAGTCGGTGATGCGGGATCTGCACTCGGACGACCACGACGACAATTCCGAGGACCAGGACGACCTCGACTTGGATTCCGAGGCCGAGCGGCCGGCGCCCATCCACGTCTCGCACCACCAACGCAGGTTGGCCCCTCCCGGCCGCGAAGCTCAAAGCTCCCGATGGCCGAAACCGTCTCTCGGCGCGAGCGCGAAGGGATAATCGACTCACTGCGCCGTCCTGTGACTTTGCGATAAGGGTCAGTTTGAGTGACGGCAGCGAGAGTGACGGCTCCGCCCCCTCGCCGCCTTCGCGCCACGACGCCCCGGCCTTATTCAAGACCGCAAATAACCAGGTAAGATGTTTTCCTCGGGCCCATCGGTGAGCCCTCGCGAATTGCGAAGTTCACGGATGGAGCCCAAAAACGGTTGAAAAGACCCCATGTGAAGACAACCGTCCGCGCAAGTTCTCAAGACTTTGATCGGCTGATGCAAACTCAATCCAAATAAGCATTATTCGGGATGTTCGATCCCACCTTGAGACCGATTTATTCGACTCTCGAGCCCTGATACCGAGGAAGCGACATCAAATTTCCATGACGGATGGACCCCAGTGTCCCGATATAGCAAGTTCCCGCAATTCATTGCGCTCTTCTGTGTTCTCGTTTGATTATTATTTTTTTTTTCATTTGTTGATCAACATTTTGGATAAAGCACACAATCAAATTCAAATCAAGAAAGACACCCGATCAATATATGCATTTTGCAACCGGGTTACAAAATGCCCAGTAGCAGCTCAGCATCACGTGTGTGTGTGTTTATATTTATATTTTTGTGTTTTAAAGTGGTTCAGATAATGAGAGTGTCTGTGTGTATATAAGATGAATATTACATCTATAAATTGATGGGGCCAAGTCAGGTTTGGTGCAAATTTCCTGTGATTCAAAACCAACCAAGCAGAGCAACACAGCTTCCAAAATTCTTCTGGCTTCATGTGAACACACAATGCCAACCAAGCCAGCGTCACCCTCGCGGAAGGTAAAAGCGATGAGATAAGGGCCATCGGAATACATGCCGGTGCAACGGCACGCGGAGGCGCGCCATAGAAAAATACTCGCCGGCATATGTTCCTTATCCTCCGCGACGAGCAACGTACCGCATCTGAGCGAGCCTGGAGGAGACCGTCTGGTTTGTGATGAGACTGCCTGCCCCCCCCCCTCCCCC